GTTACAGACATGGGCTATCTGTAACATTGTGGCTCAGAAGTAAGTACTGACGATCCCTGCCAGCAACGACACGCGTCTTGGATGCTGATAAATGCCCTTTGCAGCGTCGCCACCGGCTACGGACAGCCTCCTGGCACCATCTATGATTGGGCACTTGAGCCAGCATCTCTTCGAGACGCCGATTACAATCCTTCGGATGACTTGCGAATCCGATTGCGGATTGAAAAGTTCTGTGACCGCGTGACGAAGGCGTTATATAGCGGAAAGCCTGAACCAGCCGAATTCATCAGTTCGGAGAAGTTGTTAATCGTTCAGCTTCTGGAGAGTGAACTTCGGGAGATGGAGGTTGATTTTGGTCGAGACATATCACGTACGAACACCTGAACTGCTATTGCCGTCGTTGAGCCGCCGCTAAGCTGTCCTTTTCAGATATCAATATGATCCATCTGCGAGCCGCCGAGTTACATTTGAGATACTTTGTGTTCCTTGGCTCTAATCCACGAGGTGAAGATCTGACAAAGCTTTTCATCGCTACGACGTCATTTCTCGGGCGAGTTTTGGACTTGGAGACATCTCCTGGAGAATTGATTGGCCACGCCACCAATTATATCCTTCAGATGATAGTCTCTGCTGCATTTGCCCTTATGAAACTGTTGAAGAGCGATTTCAGCCATCATATCGACTTCGATCACGGCAAATTACTGTTCAATGGAGCCATCTCGGCCATCCGACGGATAAGTGTTATGGATCATGATCGCCCTGTTCGTCTGGCCGATATTTTGGCGCAGATGTGGAATGCAAATGAGGCGGCACATTCTCCTGGCGACAATATTTTGGAGCTAAAAGTTCGCTGCAGAATGAGCATGAGTCATGTCTATGACACGGTCTGGCGCTGGCGACAGAGATTCAGGCCTATGCGGAGCATCGAAGACTCACAAGGTTTGTTTATTCTTATGTTTATTCCGTATTCTCGCCGTTGGAATGATCGTGTAAAGCTGATTTGCGCAGTCACCGTGGCCAACCCAAACATATCGGCGGCCGCAGGCACTATCACCCGGCAGCAGGATGATACCCTAGATGAACCTGGTTTGATCTATCCGCCAAATTTTGACCAAGGGGCCTTCATCAGCGAAGCAGGGTTCTCCGAAGTTTTTGATTCCCTCAACTGGGTGTTTGATGGGATTCCTGATTCCTTCGTTGCACCGCCGGTGATGTAGCCATTACGATGCATCGCTATGTGCAACTGTACATGAACAATGAGTGGTCTCGTCTGTCCAGGCGACCAAGTGCCAATTGGCCGGAGCTCACAGATATCTATTTACGACTTCATCTTGTGTATATAGAATATTCGCATGATACCATTTGATTTAGGAAGTCCAAAAAAAGTGATACGATTCTTGATTGAGAGTTCATGGAAGGAAGATCTGTCGGATCACACTTGCCGAGGCTGTAAATCAGGACAGTGATTGCTCGGCCCCACCTATCATAGCATGGAAGTCTGGTGGACTCTTCCATATGGGAAACTGCCCAGTTCTTTGTCAAGGCTTCGGTGCGCATTGCATTTATTGGAACCGACGCTTATGAGGGAGTCTTCAATGAAGCGCATGCCTTGAAGACTATTGGTGATGTAAGCGAATATGAGGTCGCTCTGTCTAAACGGCTGGGAGGTCTGATTACTGGATGAATCATGAGCCCCTCTGTGAACACACAGACCATATATAAGCGCGCCCATTGATGAGGAAGCCAATAGGCGTACCTGTGTGCTGCCATATGGCTACTTATAGTGATACAAAGTACAATCCGTCTCAGATGATCGGTAGGGCTTAACTTTAAGCAGATGGACATTGTCCTCCTTATCAAGCATGAGTCAAAGATTAGACGTCCTATTCAGCGCTGGGTGCTGATCATGGCTAGGGATGTCCATGCGATGCAGCCAACGCGATAATATCACCCCATGTTCATAGCAACCAAGCAAGTAGCAAGGTATATTTGGACATAGTTGGGAGGTGAAGTACGGAGTATACTGTTTCTCGTTTTCTACTGGTTAAGAGGGCTTCGGTGGCGGTCAAAAAGGGGGACACGGCGTCCAATGGTGATGATTGCTGGAGGTATTTTCTGATGCGATGTCATCTAGGTAGTCTGCAGTGCATGGCACATAGTAGATATTCATGGCAGATACGCCATAGTCTAAGCACTGAGGTACTATCCAGCTAGAGCTCAATATACTAGCTAGGTTGTTCGCTACCAAGTATCAACTTGAGTCTCGCTTAATCCCAGAGCAGATGGGCGGAAAGTGAGTCTGGACTAAAAATGGGTTTCGGAGAGCAATAATGGCACCCTATTAGGACGGATAACTCCATACCTTGCCTTCAATATTCCATGGTTCGTATGGGTCAAATTCCCCCTTGATCCTAAACAAAACAGAGGTACGGTTGCCTGAAAGTATCTAAAATAATACCTTAATAACTCTGACAGTCTCAGACGAGGAGAACTACAGGACTGTCTTATAAAAGCAATTGAGGATCATCGCAGTATATCTGTGCTCAATGATGGAATTGATCGTTCTGTTCCACTCAGCAAGTAGTACGACTACTACTACTTCTGTTGAGACTCTCGCAAGCGCCTCAAGTCAAACCCACCAAAGAGAAGGCTGGGGACTTGCAATACGGACACTGACATAGATAGCTCGTAGGTGCTTGCTTGTAAGTCTTGGTTAGCCTGAACCTGATCATCAATATATCAAAGAAGGGTGTATCAATGATCAATCAAATACCAGCCGTCATCGATCTGCCTTCATTCTCCATAAGATCTGACTGGACGTCTCTGTTATCATGCCTCATTCCCACTCATAAACTCCTGATTATAGGTGCATCCTACAGTGTATAAAGATCGCTTGAGTCTTAGAGGTTCCATCAAACCCTGAGCGTGGGGAGCATCTGTCGGGAGCAACTATTTTATCGCTGATTTCTGCATCTCTCTGCAAATAATATTGGTAGGTCAAAAGTACCTTGATCTGTATACAAAGTGACATACTGCTTAACCCCCAAAAGGTGAGCTATCCAGTCTGGTTCTCCCTCTACACGGACCGCAATCGAGCTACCCTCGCTCGTCCCGATTAGCCCCCCCTCTTGTCTTCCCCCCAACCACAACGACCTCCGCCCCTCGATCTCGTCCTGTTTCGCTGCTCAATGACCCTTTTTTGTCCTCTTTTTGTCATTTGCCGTCTTCAGCTTGTTTGCTCTCTCTTCTAAAAACTTTTTATGTGCTCTTTGTCCTATACAATTGCATTGTCCTGACTCATTTGACTTCTCATTTTGCAGATATACCCTTAAAGATTATTATCGCCCCATCCGCCTTCACTTGACGCTAAAACCCCCATAATTCACTTCGCGACGCTAATTGATCGCTATCATTTGGCTTCATCTTTACGAGCTGTTCATCATCATATCCTCACTGTGATTTCCTTCTCTGTGCATATACCCTTAATCCAACAACAAAACCATGGCGTCCGGACCCGCTACTCAGTCATTAAAGGTTAGAACTCGCGAGATATCCCATGGATTGTTAGTCAGTTGACAAGACCACGGCTAATAGGTGAACCTGTACAGTGTGTGGTGACTGGTGATGGTGCAGTTGGAAAAGTAAGTGCTTTCTCCTTCTCCCTTTCCCCCAGATCAGACATTGCCTGGTGCTAGCTTTACCTGATAAATGACAGCAGCTAACCTAGAATATGATAGACATGCCTCCTCATCTCGTACACCACCAACGCATTCCCCGGAGAATACATCCCTACCGTGTCCGTGGCTTCCTCCCTTGCGCTGATCTCATTCGGAGCCTGTTGTTGACCCGACTTCCAGATTTGACAACTATACGGCCAGTGTGATGGTAGATGGCAGACCCATCAGCTTGGGACTGTGGGATACTGCTGGACAAGAAGATTATGACCGACTGAGACCGTTGTCCTACCCTCAAACCGACGTCTTCCTCATTTGCTTCTCCATTGTCAGCCCTCCCTCGTTTGACAACGTCAAGGCAAAGGTGCTCAACTCCCCCTGTCAGATGCTGCGCGCTCGCAGCTTAGCAATCGCTTCGACTAACCGTTCAAGTAGTGGTACCCGGAGATCGAGCACCATGCTCCTAATGTTCCCATCATCCTTGTTGGTACCAAGCTCGATCTGAGAGACGATCCCGCGACAGCAGAATCCCTCCGGCAGAGAAAGATGGAGCCTGTCTCGTACGAGCAAGCCCTGACCGTCGCCAAGGAGATCCGAGCGCACAAGTATCTCGAATGTTCTGCCCTCACGCAACGCAACCTCAAAAGCGTCTTTGATGAAGCCATTCGGTATGTTTGGCATTGGCCCCATGGTCGTGACGTTGTCCCGATGCTGATCACATCGCTAGTGCTGTCCTCAACCCTCGACCTGCCGCAAAACCGAAGAGCAAGAAATGCAGAATTCTGTAGACCCTTGTTTTCAGCTTTTCATCATTTAATCATAAACAACTAATTCGGCGTCTGGGATAGTTGAAGGTTTTGCAATGATCCCCTTGATGATTGTTCCAACTGTGTTCATATTTCTTTTCTCGCTTTCTCTGTCACATGTCATGATCCTGATGAGCTTCTTTCTGGGTCAGGACACCCCGTTCCTCATCTTGTCGTCTTTTCGTGCACATGCAGCATAAACTTGTAACATGCTACGCCATAACAGGAAGTTGTCGCTTAATCGATTTTAACCTCCATGGTCCTAACTGCTACCCAGATATGGCGCGTGTTGGAAACAGCTGTATGCAGCCTATCAAGATTTCCCTTAGGGATTGTGCAGTTATTGAAGATTCTATATACTTCCACCCAACTCAATCCATCCAATATTCACACTCATATAACGAGGACAAGAAGGATATCTCTGATGGAACATATCAAGGGAATGCGAAATGGAAACTGAAAAATAGGCTTTTTGTCGTCGAGCAGCACCGTTGCTGAAACTCCGTCCGAGTCAAGGGCCTTACGCCATACGGGCTCTTCGGCTGGGGTGAATACCAGCCCACTGATCGGCGCCCTGGTCCTCGTTCTCTTTAGAATGAGTCTTCTTCGTCGTCGTCTTCTCCTTTTGGATATCCTTGGCTTGACGTTGTCTCTCCTCGTTGAGCTTCTTGTTCTTGGCTTCGATTTTGGCTCTGCGATGCTCAGATTTACCGCCACCGCCGCCGGCCCTGCGATATTGTTAGTTTTGAGATTCTACCAATGCGTCTGGTCATGCGCTGCAAGCCGGCAGGCTTGCACGCGCAGATCTGGCTCACTCACGTCAATTCGACATTGATTCTCCGAGCGGGATATTTCCCATCATCGAACATGGAGTGATGGTAGAGTTTCAGGCAGGTCTTCATGCGGTCATAGTTGTCAAATTCGATGAAACCGAATCCGCGGCATTTGGTCGGTTTGTCTTTCTCAGTAGCTACGCGCACTGAGGCCGGAGGGTTCTTCTCAAAGTGCTTTCTGAGGGAGTCGGCAGTTGCGGAGTAAGGGAGATTTCCTGCGAGGAGAGAAGTGCGGACGAATTAGCAATGCTGCAGCTGTGCCATACGCCCTTGATAACAACAAAGGTTGACTTACCAACGAAGCAGATGAAACGTGCGTTCTTCTGGTGGTGTTGTGAGTCATCTTCGGCAGGCGCTGTCTCTGCAGATTGTTCTGGTTGCTCTTGCGTCTCGTCTGCGGACTCTTTCTCCTTTTTCTCCTTCTTAGATTTCTTATCTTTCTTGCTCTTCTTGTCCTTCTTTTCCTCCTTCTTTTCGAGCTCGTCGCCCTCAGCCTCCTGCTTCTCGGTAGGTTTTACATCGCCATCGACGTCCATTAAATCCACCCCTGCGGTCTGAGGACTTGGCTTCTCCACTTCATCTTTGTTTTTCTTCTCCTTCTTCTCTTTCTTTTCCTTCTTATCTTTCTTTTCCTTCTTTTCCTTCTTGTCCTTCTTGTCCTCCTTCTCCGGCTTGCTGTCGGCAGGCGCTGCGACGTCCTCGGTTTTTACGTCCTCAACAACATCCTTCGCCTTGCTCTTTTTCTCCTTCTTTTCCTTCCGCTCTCCCTTGACCTTTTCCTGCTTCAGCTTCTTGCCCTCAGGCGCAATGGCTTCCTCGGCGAGCTTGCGTTTCTTGTCGCCCATTTTTGGTGTGATATGCTCGGAGTAGCTGCGAAAAGGGCCTTTCTTTGTAAGAAGTGACTGTAAAAGCGATCAATAAAGCAGAAGATATTCCGAACCAAAAATCAGAATCAGAACCACAACTCGAAGGCCGAAACAGAAATGGAAATTTTGAGTCTGGAAAATTACTGCCTCCAGAAGCTTAGCGACTTTTTTGCCGGGCGGTTGTTTATGGCGGTGAGAGCTGTGGCTCCACTGGAGATCATGCCTTATCATTTCAGGCAATCAGTTGTTCCAAGTATGTGTACTGTTCAGTGTGTCCATTCGTAGTACGCATCAAGTCTACGCATGTGAATAGAACATCTGGCACGAAATTATATAAGTATGCATACCTTTTAAATATACAGATGCCCCAGTAAGCAACGCCAATACCACAGACAGTAAATACTTCAACTAAAATACCAAAATCTGAATCCGCTTCTGTTTCGCTCCATATCGCTCACGGAACTCGGAGCGAGTGAGCAATTGGAGGAGTGGGAGATGCGTTTCCTTCATGTCAAAGATGCCACGCTGTTTCTGGTCAATGTAGGATCCGTCAATCACGATACGCTCTAGTTCGTCCAATTTGAGGCTCCCTGTTTCCATTAGTATTGGTTCGAACACGATATACAGATGGTAGTCCAGGGAGGAACAAGACGTACCAGCGTCGATCAAGTCTGAAATTCGGGCGGGGGTACCGACTCCAAGGCCTGTTCTGTATAATTGTCAGACAAACGGCCGGTTAAGGACAAGATCGTAGTGAGCATACCGTGCGCGCTCCAAGAACTGTTTTGCTTCCTCGAGCTTGATGTGCTTTGCGAACAACTTGCCGACTGTCGAATCCTTGCTCTGGAACGTACGGAGAGCCCTAGCGCATGTAATCAGCCCCATCCCAGGACAGCGATATACGTCTGATCTACCCACCTCACCACATCAGCTGCTCTAAGCGCAGCGGGACATACCACTAGCGTATGCGGCGTGCCCTTTTGCTCCGATGCCTTTGAAAGCCCAGATCCCTTGTCGGGGCTGAAAGCTTTGAGAAACGCCGGAAGCTGGTCTAGCGATCTGGGTGATTCGAAAGCGGATGTGTCGAGGAATGCCGAGTCTAGACCGTCGTGTTAGTCTGATTGCACTCGAGACCGAGCAATACGGATATAAGCATACCTGGAACACTCAGATCACCCAATTCAACCGCAGTCAGCTCCTTGTTATGTCTCTTCGCCTTCTGGACAAAGTGATCAGCCAGCAACCTGCCGTCCATCTTGCCGATAGACTCGTCGATGCCGCCTTTGCGCTCCTGCTGCTTGGGATCATCGTCCTGCTCTTTTTTCTTTTGTTGCTTCTGTTTGTTCTTGGAATTCTTCTTCTTTTTCTTTCGAGGGCCCTCAGCTGCCTCCGAGGTATCATTATTGGTAGATTTGGCCGGTGCAGGTTCATCTTCCTTGGGAGTTTCTTCCGCCTGTCTCTTGCGCTTCTTGTTCACCTTGGCCGAGAGGCCGGACGGGTTCGGGGGAACGTTGGACATTGCAAGGTGAGGAATACTCTAGTATATTTGCAACTCTCGAAAGATTTTCAATGGCACGATAGAGCGATTGTCCCGGACTCTTCCTTGTCGCATCCAAGTGCTTCCTGCTGGTCACAACTTTTTATGCTGAGTCAGCAGTTCTTATTGATAAGCTTAAGCCAATCAGAGTCTGGCCCAGAGTACCTGTCGTGGATGATCCGAGACGCGCTCCGCTTGATCACCATATGAAACCCCTCGTCTATCGTGTACTTGAAATCTATACATTTCGAAACATTATCAACTTTCCATTAATTAAAATTGATATTTGTGCGGCCTTCCAATTGTGGATGTTCAGTCGATTAGATCTCTTGTTCCCTGACAGCTATAGATGTCAACGACTCCCAGACCGCACGGCCGCCGGCCGTCGCGCGATGCGGCAGCTTCAGATTCAAACATGAATACTCCGGCGGGAGACACAACAGCCACTAGGGTGAGTCAATCATCGGTGTATAGTCCAACTCAGGATACTTGACAGTATGGTCTAACGAAGTGATGGATAGCTTCAACGACTCCCAATCCACACGAGGTATCCCCTCACTCCGAGCCGTCTAGCAGGGTCGACTACCCCGTCTGCCAATCCATCGGTCTCTCGATGGACACCTGGAAGAAGACTTACGAATGCCCCGTCGACGCCCTACGGACTTCGCGCGCTGCAGCGTCGCGCGGCCAATACGCCCGGACGCGATCGCAGGAAGAGCGGGCGGATCCAGAGAGAGACAACGTTTGACATCCTACGGAATCTTGGAAAGGGTACGCGCGCACATAATTACGATTGAACGATTACATAAATTTACAAGCTCCTGACTGACTCTCAACCAGCTCTTGCCCCTACTTCTCAGCCGATACGCTCATCACCGCAGGAGAAACTGGAGCCGACACCAGAACCAGAAAAGGAGAGAGATGAGATCGAGGAACTCGACAATGAGCCGGAATTGGAACGGCCGAGGCTTTCTCTACCTCTGGAGGAGGTGGAGGAGGTTGATGAAGGAAGTCCCGAAATGCGTCCACCTAGGCTGTCGTTAGCTTTCGATGAGGAAGACCTCACACATACATCCGTGGAGTACCCGCGAAGAGCGACTAGCGAATATGATAGAGCAAGACTATCTATGATGAGCTACGGTAATCCACGACTAAGCGAGAACTTCGGCGACTCAACCAGGTTGGGGAGCGGCTCTGAAGGCGGCGAGTACGATGATACGGGCATTGAAGGAGATGGACCGGACGATACAATGATCAGCCAGGGGGCTTTTGACAGAGGGTGAGTGTTGAGGGAGGGCGTTTATCTCGACCCAGCTAATTTTGTTGCAGAGGCGAAACGGAGGATCTTGGGCGATTCAACTTCGAATTCAACTTCCCATCTCCACCGCCTCCTGGTGAGGGTGACCTGATGCAGGACGAACCTTTGAATGACGACGAAGGTTTCGAGCTCCCTCCGGTTGATCTCGGGCCAGAGGTAGGTCCAGAATCAGACATGAGCGATGGCGATGTTGGCGGTGTCGCTGGCGATTTCGGTCTGGAGCTCAATATGCCATCACGAGTTTCCCTGAGCGAGAGTCCAGGGCTCGTTGGAGGGGGATTGCGAGACGAAGACAGCGTGCTCCCAGGCGCCAAGCAGAAGAAACTCTCGCGCCATGGAATTCCTGTGCCGAATATGCCAGTGGGAGTGGTTCGAAAGCTAGCTACTCGGTTTGCCCGTGCAAGAGCCGGATCCAAGGCCAAGATAAGCAAGGCAACCTTGGCTGCTATAGAGCAAGCATCGGCGTGGTATTTTGAGCAAGTCAGCGAAGACTTGGCAGCATATTCTAAGCATGCAGGGCGAAAAACTATTGATGAAACTGACGTTACGACTTTGTTGAGAAGGTGAGTGAGATTGTCTTAATTATGGGACCAGGAGGATGCTGATCTGCTAGACAACGACACATCAACAATGCCACTACCGTTTTCTCTCTTGCGCAGAAGCATTTGCCGAAAGAACTCCTGCAGGACATGAGATTGGCGATGCCACCATGAACAGGGATATACACTACAGGATCTCAAAAAAGGACAAAGCCGAACGCCGTCAGACAATGCACATGACGATGACACACCAAGAATTTACGACCAGTTCCGATTCTGGACGACACGGCGAGTGGCCTCATTTGGCCTTTTGCGAATGACCATCCACAACATTATCGATGTTGCCAGCGACAGACCATACCTGTTGAATATTAGCAACTGGAGTTGGGAGCCGAAGGAGACTAAGCTCGAGTGCGAAAAACATTCGCGTGCATGGAAACTTACCATGTGAAAATGTACTGGCTATGGTTGTTTCTCAGGTTGACTTCCGCTGCGCGGCCGATGGGAATACCCTTGGCTTCTCTGTCCATCGATTCGACCATATCCGGCACTGTAGGATTCAGAATCAGTCATGTCGGGAACTCCCGCTCGGAATGCTAGGGATTTGCTTACCCATAGTCTGTTCAATCCAAACCGGCTGACTTCCCGTCAGTTCAGCCATTTGATGGACATCGGGAAAGTAGAATTTCCCTTCCTCCGGCTTGTTCTCTGGGGTAAACATGTTCTTCTTCCACGGCTCTCGCAGCAAGCCCTCAACGACAACCTCACCCTGTGGTAACCCGATGGCTCTGTCTTTCTTCTTCATCATCTTCTTTGAAATCCAGCCTCTGTTCACAAGGATCGTGCTTTCCCCTTCGCCTCTTTCTAGTGGAGTGACCACAATGAAGCCTTCCTGGCCTTCGCGCATGCGCGGCCCGATCAACATCTCCTGATCATGTCTAAAATGACCCGTAGCGTAGACTCGTCGGTAATCAAACTCGGAGATGGCGGTGGGATCAATACGGGGCGGCAACGGGAGAGGAGGCTTCACGAGACGATCCTCGAATTTCGCAATCAACTTTGTCTTCCAATCGAGCCGCTGAACCTGCCAGGTGCCTAGGATAAATGCCGTGATGGGGATCAATGCTGTAGCAAGCCAATTGTAATTAGTCGATAAGCTTTCATTCACAGAGGATGCTCCCAGAAACATCCCGCGTCGTATGAGGTGCAACATACCTAGGATGATCAGGCCAGGCCCATGCTTGCGTCCCGTGCGTACAATCTGCGCAGGATGATCAACTACAGATAGCCATCTGGGATCATCCGCAACCTGCCGATTGCTCGAGAAACGAATCTGTTGGCGGCGGCATCTGGCGCAAATCGAATCAAGCTCCAACACTGCGCGAGAACTCCGAACAGATGCAAATTGTGAGCGCCACGATGTAGCTGCCGTCTGCTGGAGAACGGAGAATATCGACCGCATGATTGATCCAATTGCGGCCTCCGCATCGACCTTCGTGCTTTGCTTGAAGAATCGCTGATGAGGAGAAAATGCGGGACGGACCCTTTAGTAGGCTGTTGGAGAGGAACCCGTGATCGGCGGAGATCAACGACTTTCCCCGACGAGCTGTGCTGGCCGTATTGCGTGGTTTGGCTCGCTTGCGAACAAATAAACAACCATACTCGGTTCACGAAAAAAGAGAACTCAGGGCCGTCATGTTCTACTCTGGAGGTCTTCAGGCAGGAATCTCCCTTGCTGTCACAGAGGCGAAAGCTGTGGTCTGCTTCGTTCGAGGTCTGTCTGTCTGTCATTCCCCGCACGGCCGCTATGATCGCATCTGCATTACATATGATGCTACTATCGCTTGGAGTCGCAAGCTGATTGACAGGATGAGTATAGATGACGAGGAGGCTAGTAGTGTATGGGAGGATGAATACTTCAAGGATGATGAGGTAAATCCCTCGATGATGCTGATCTTCGTTGTATGGCTTCTTACAGAGATGCCATCTACCTAGCAATTTGCACGATTGCTCGAGACGAGATCCGTTTTGCTACGACTCACGAAGGGCGGCGATGAAGCCGGATTCTTGACGTCGTTTTGTCCAATTGTGCGGTTTCCTGCAGTTGTTGTGATCAAGTACGACTGACCTCTACCGGTCCGTTGGTTGCGAACAAGTTCACTGATCTGGATGGGTTGCAGGAATGGCATGTTGCGAGAATACCTTGTGCCCGAAATATCCAAGGACGACTTTCGCAGTCGGCTAAGGGCTGCTCTTGATGACACTCAATCTACGACGCAGAATGTTCCTCAAAATACTTTGAGTCCCTCTGCAGCGTTGTCCTCCTCGCCTGCACCTGCGCCTGGTCCTGCTTCTGCTCCTGCACCAACAGCGACAGCTGAACCGACGCCCACACCTACATCTGCGCTCTCTGACGCAGAGAAGGGCCGGCCAGAAGCTTCCGGGACACGACAACCGAAGAATCACCAGCAAGAGCATGATCCAAGCCCTGAACAAACCCAAGAGGCGCCTACGAAGGCAGCTGGTTCTGATCGTGCGCCACAAGATACGCGGAAAAACCAACAGTCGAAGAGAGAGCAACAAGTTCGGCAATACGTCGCTAATATCCAGAAGCAAAGTACTGTCGAGCCTAGAAAGGACTCATTATCGCCTTCCGCCGCCGATCCTGGATCGCGTGTTGGTCCTTCAAGAGAAGCGTCGACACCGCGCCCACCATCACCTCCCAAGCAGTATCGTTTACAAGTCCGCTTGTTCGACGGAAGCTCAGTGCGAAATAGCTTTGCGCCAACACAGACTATCCGCGGGGATGTACGCCCGTGGCTTGACGGTCTACTGCAGGATGAGAAACGCCCATATAATCTTAAGCATATCTTGACACCCTTGCCCAGCCGAACGCTCACTATTGCCGACGAAGAACGTACCCTTGAAGATCTTGGACTAGGATCCACGGCGAACCTTGGGATGATCCCCATCAACTCGTATACAGAGGCATATAACTCGTCAGGGTCTAGCTTGCCCGTGCGAGCTGCATATTCCGCGTACGGCTTGCTCTCCTCGGCAGTTGGTACTGCGACGGGCCTAGTGGGATCTTTCATCGGCTACAACCCGACTCCTTCAGACTCTTC